GGACCCAGGCTGGTGCTCACACCGGCGGTGCGGGGTTACCTGGACCTGGCTGAGCTCCTGCGCCGCAGCCAAACGCAGCAGCGGAGCACGCTCAGCCTCTCGATGTGCCCCAGCAAGGTCAGTGTTAATGCATGGGAGGCTGCAGCGCCGTGATTTGGCAGGGATTGCCATGGGGCGTCTGAAGGAAGGTGCTGATCTGTTGATCTTAAGGTTATTTCCAGTCCAAACCGTTCTATGACCCCTGTGAAAGCAGAGAAACCTGAATGGGCTTTTCACGCTGAGGACAGGGCACACATGGACTCTGCTGCATCTCAAGCCATCTGCTGTGAAGAGGGCGCTGTGCTGGGGTTACGGTGGCTCTGGGCAAAGTCCTACATCTCCTCACTGGGATTTCCTGCACAACAAAATGCAGGATATTATTCCCTGCCCAGACATGCACCTTCCTCCTCATCTACGGTAGGACTGTAACCAAGAGGCTGCTGCTTCCATTAGAACAGTGATGTCATTAAAAAGTAACTTGTTTAATTCATTTCGGTTGTGACTTGGGTAACTCTCTCGGTGCATTCTCTGCAACAGCAATCACCAAGTCCTGGCAGGGTGTAAAAAAGCAGGATGCTGCCACATTTCATGCACTTCAGCCATAAACTGTGATACAGCTTAATTAACAGTGATAAGCACAGCCCGAATGCTGCATTATCTACCAAGCCTTCCAAGCCAAGGCAGATGTATTCTCCCTGATTGCTGGGCTCAGAAAGCTCAGATTCAAACCCAAGAGTGAAAACTCAGTTGCAAACCTGACAGAGGGGAGGTTTAGATTAGAAAGAGGAAATAATTCTTCCCTGTGAGGGTGGTGAGGGGCTGGCACAGGTTGCCCAGAGAAGCTGTGGCTTCTACATCCTTCCTCCCCAGCTCAAGGTTCAGCCACATGAGCTGAAGGTGGTCCCAGCTTTAACACCTTCAGCAGACAAAGCCCTCGCTGCTCCGGCTGAATTCAAGGTGTTGATGGGAGGGTGGATGTGCAGTGCCTGCGCTGCAATCCCAGCAGTGGAATCCAGAGGAATGGAATCCAGCCCTTACATCAGCCTAACCCGCAGTGCTGTGCATGGGAGTTACCTCCTCTGTTTCCTCTAGGTTTCTGGAGGTGGAGCGGCCCATGTTCAGCAAGGCTTCCCGCATCCTGGCCTTCGCGTACCCGTACCTCTTTGACAGCATCCCTCTCTTCTACAGGGTACGGCTCCCTGTGGTCACAGCACCAGGATGGTGGCTCGCTGCAGGGTTGGGAATATCAGCTGCTACATCTTCGCCTGAAAATATTTGGGGAAATATTCCTTTTTCAAAAGGAAAACAAACTCCGGCAGGAAAAGGGATTGGGTTGTTTTTTCCTGCACCTATTGATAGGCAGATTCCTCCCACTTCAAAGCGCCGCGCTCCCACTTTGCCCAGGCTGGAAAGTTACTGCCTTAGAAAGCTGCCAGTTTTCCAGGTCCTCAGCTGGAGCAGGGTGGGAATTTTGCTGCAGTGAGGACTGAGGATGGGACGTGTGGGGCTGGGATTTGCGTGAAACCATGATAGGTGTTGTACTGAGCCCTGGGCCCTGCCCTGGTGCTGCCTGATGGGCAGCCAGAGCTGCTGGGGGCTCGGGGAGCAGCTCTGCCTCCTTTAATGTGTTGTTTTCCTCTTCCTTCTCCACGGTCCCCCTGTGTGGACACCTCTTTAATGCTGCAGTTCTACCTGTGCATGGCAGAGAGCTGCACAGAGGCTGCAATCCCGGTCCATTACAAGCACACTGCCTTTGCCTTCCTCACTTGCTTCATCTTCGCCAGCCATCTGCCAGAGCGACTCGCGCCAGGCCACTTCGATTATATCGGTAAGTGCCAAAGGGTGAGTTGGAATTGTTTCCTCATTATCCGTGGGGAGAAAGCACATTAATGCATGAGTGACTCCCAGAGGTTGTAATTAATTCCCTGCTGGGGATTCAGTGTGTGATTTTACACACGAGATAGAGCAGTCCTGCCTCGACAAAGCAGGAACAGCTCCAGAAACATGCTGGTTCCAAAACGTTTCAGAGGGTTTCGTGACCACAAAACACTCATTTCTTATGCAAAAGGCCTCACCTCTGGCACAGCAGTGCGTCAGGGCACTGCAGGAGCCAAGGAGACTGGGTGGCAGTGCGAGGGTCTCCCTTGTTGTCCCCATTACGCCATACCCAAGCACAGTGATCCTTAGAGCTGCCAGGACTGCAGCAGTGAGCTGCACATCCCTCATTCCCAGCTGCATTTTGGAGAGGAAGATCCCTGTGCTCTGGAGGCACGAGGGGAAAAGCCACAGAAATTAGTATTTAAAAGATTTAACGGCACTAGATGCCAGGCAGAAGGTCCCGGAGCCCTCCCCGTGGTGTCCGAATGAAGCCCAAGGCGAGAGGAGCCCTTGGTGAGTGCTTTGGCTTTGCTGCAGGGCACAGCCACCAAGTTTTCCACGTCTGTGGGATCATCGGCACCCACTTCCAGATGGAAGCCATCATGATGGACATGGCCGAGCGGCACGACCGGCTCCTGCCCTCCTCGCTGCTTCCCTCCTCCCTGCAGACCCTCGGCTCCATGGGCATCTGCATGGCCATGAACCTGGCTGTCATCGGGCTCTGCTCCGCGTCCCTGCGCTTCATGCCAGAGCCTCTGCAGAGAGAAAAGCCACACAGGCATTAGCCTTCGGGTCTAGATGGTGTTGATGCTGCTCCAAGGGACGGACCCCAAACAACCGGTGGATGGGTGAGGAGTTTATTCACCTACACTCTCTGAGGAAAGGTGTATTGAACATTTTCTCGAGGGGAAACCATAATTGCACTGGTTTCTGTACATATAGCTTCAAAGCTGGGGACAGATGATGAAATGCTCTTAATCAAATTGCTGTTTCAGTACAAGATGTATTTAAAATACTCATAACTTCTTCTATCAAAGGGAAATAAGTGCTAAGACTTCCCAAAGCAATAGGCATTCCCCAGGTCTGCCTTACGGAGCAATCAGGGAGGCAAGGGAATGGGGGCAACACATCTGGTCACACGTCTGTCCTTGTCATCGGCTTAAACCAACAGCCAAGCCTCCATGGTGAAGGCACGACCAATGGCTCTCTGTGGGGCTCCTTAACTAAGGTTTTCACCTTGAAAGTGGCATTATTTTGAGCTTAAAACCTCAAATACCTGTTACACAGCCTTACACTAACCCCAAGTGCCTGACATGTGGGATTGAGACCAGAGTTTGGCTACGTTTTAAATTCAGCTATTTTTAATCATGACCCAAAAAGAGTAATTCTAAGAGAACTCTCCATGGGATGTTCCTTCAGAATAGCCTCATTTTGGGTCCAATTCTGGTGCTTAGGTAAATCCTAGGAAATGAATGTCCATGGGGGAGCTGAGCTCCTGCCTGCAGTTGCCCGGTGGCTGATGGAGCCCCAGAGCATGGGGGGCACTGTCCTTCCCTCCCCGTACAGACACCTCTGTCCTGGTCATGGGCAGGCTCCTCTAACCTCATTTGTGGCAGCAAACATGAATGGAGGAAGAAACACCTGCACCCATGAGGTGAAGAGGTGGAATTCCTTCCAGGCACAGTTCTGGGACAAGCGAATAGGGTGGGGGTGCCGGGGAAGAACCAGACATCCCCATTAAACACGAGCTGAGCGAGAAGCAGGAGCCTGTGCAGTGCAGAGCCTGTGCTGTGTTGGATGAAAGGCAGGATTTGGGGTGGCTGATGCATGGAGGGGGGGTGTCAAAACCTGTCCTTTTAAAGCATTTCCAGAGTTAGACCTCGGCTCGCCCAGCAACGTCCCCGTGCTCTGCCCTCCTCCTGGCTCTCCTTGCTGCTGAGTCTGGGGTTTGCAAGGAGAAGCAGAGCACAGGGACAGAGCCTGGAGGTGCCGGGTGGAAGCTGTCACCTTGGATTTACCCAACACTGCACACGAGGCACAGGAACGTGCGATGCAAGGACGACTGCTGGGGAACAGGATCAAGCTCCTTGATAATCATAGGGGTGTGCCATTTGTTGTGTGTGTAATTGCCTCTATCGAGCTCTAATTGATGCACTTTTGAGTGACAATACAATGGCTCATTACACCTATCACGGGATAAAGAAGTCTTTTTGAGAAATAGCTTTCTTTTGAAAGCTGACCAAGATTTATATTAATATTTATAAGCACTGGAACATAATTGTTTATTCAACAGTTTTATTGCATTAAAAGAGAAAACTAATATAACTCTCGCACTGATCCACATCAGCCTGATCTGTATAGTGCCATAAAAATGCTGCCTGTGGAAATCAATCACTCCAGAGATAATTGCTAATAATTGCAAAGCTTATTTACCTGGTGTGCTCGTGTGACTGGGATGGAATCTGGCTCTGCGTGCGAGACATGATCTAGAGGCTGTACAATTTACATCAATCCTTACACAGCTTTTCTTGGTTGTTTCACTTTTGGATTTGGGAATTCCTCTCGTCCTCTTCAGGTGAAACTATTTGTAGGACAACTACATTGGAATGTATTACACTGTATTTTCCATCACTGTTATCCCTCTGGATCCTGCAGCGCTTTGCAGGGACCCTTTGGCACATACTGGATGAGTGAATGTTTGCTCTTGAAGCAGCCAGATTTCTTCTGCAGTTGGAGACGGGCCTTCAAAAATCTACTGAATGTACTAAATTATATTCACATAAAGAAATAAAAACTCTGTGTCAAATTGTTACGAGTAAATAAGACAGGGTATTTATTTATTGTGTGTGTGTGTGTGCACCCAGCCCACGGCAAATCCCAAACAGAACTATTGCCGCCTTCTGCCCAAGAGCTCAGCTCAGTCTCCCCTCTGGCAGGTTCAAGCCATTCCCCTTGGCCTGTCCCTCCATCCCTTGTCCAAAGCCCCTCTCCAGGTTTCCTGTAGGTCCCCACAGCCCCATCTCATCCGGTTTAGGGTGCGGGGTGCGGGTGGTTGTGACGGTGGGAGCGCTCCTGGGGACACCAGGTCCCTTTTGGCTGTTTGAGTCCTTGATGCGCGCTAGGAGAGCAGTAAGAAACCCAAGTGTTTCAGTGTAGTGCAAATCCCTGTTTGTAAGTGGCCCAGAGCAGCGGCTCCTCTCTGCTGGTGGGCACAGTGCAAACCTGAACACAGCCTGGTGGGATTTCTTTGGATTTACTCTTCTTTTTTCCCTTAAAGGGGTTAAACTTACCCATTTAATCAATTCGCACTAGAACTGAGAACT